AAGGTGTCATGCACCAAAAGGGGCTCCGAATCCGGAGACTTTATTTTGGCCTTAGAAGGCTTAATCAGCCTTTGAAGGCTTGGAAGCGAGCTTGAGAAAAATGAGAAGCTTTGTATTGCAACGGTGGAATATGTACAAGTATCAAGCCCACAAGTCAGGTCAATGATAGAATTTACGTAAATGTGTTGAATTCCAAGGCCGTGGCAGGCTTCTTTCTGACATGTCTGAGAGCTGGTATGCCCCTGTTCCTGCGATAGATTCTATCTGATAGGGGCCGTCCCAGTTTGGACCCAATTTTCCATCGGCCGGTCTCCGATCGGCTGGAAGTACCTCCTTTAGGGCCAACTCTCCTGGCATGTATCGGCGCAACTGAACTCGCTGATTATACGACTTGGCGAGCTGCTGCTGATACCGTGCCATGGACGCCAGGGCGTGGTCTCTTCGTTCTTCGATTAGAATCAGATCCAGGGCAAGCATTATGTCGTTTCAGCCGGTATCAAAAACTTGTGATTTCAGAGTTGGGAGGCCGATTTCCAGGGGTAAGATTGCCTGGGTTCCAAAGCATAGAGCAAACGGCGTTTCTCCAGTGGATCTCCTCGGCGTAGTACGATGAGCCCACAATACACTCGGCAATTCTTTGACCCATTTGCCTTTAGCTTTTTCCAGCCTCTTTTTGATGCCGTCCAAGATGGATTTGTTAGAGGCTTCGGCTTGACCATTGCTTTGGGGGTAGGCCGGTGTCGAGAAGTAAGGCCGAATGCCATATTTGCTGCATAACTCTCGATATACGCCACAATCGAACTGGGTGCCATTGTCTGAGATGAGAGCTCTCAGAATGCCGAATCGTGTTATGATGTTTCTCCATAAAAAGCGTTTAATGTCGGCATCTTGTATATGTGTTAAAGCCTCTGCTTCAACCCATTTTGTGAAGTAATCTATCACGACGATTAAGAATCGCTTCTTCCCTGGGGCCCTCGGCAATGGCCCTACGATATCAAGTCCCCACTAGGCAAACGGCCAGGGGCTGGTGATAGAGTTTAACCCTTCGGCAGGCAGATGGGTTAATGGGGAGAACTTTTGGCACTGTTCGCATTTTTTTACATAACTCTCCGCGTCAGCTCTCATTGTCGGCCAATAATACCCCTGTGTTATAGCTCGATGGGCCAAGAAGCGTCTACCAGAATGGGCACCACAACTGCCCTCATGTATCTCTGTCAGAAGCTCTTCCACTTTATCGGGGTGCACGTATTCCAAATATGGACCAGAGAGGGACTTTTTATAAAGCCCTCCTTGCGGATCCAGATAGTATTGCAGGGCTTTATTTCGCAGCTTGTGTGCTTCTTTTTTGTCCTCTGAGAGTTGTTTAGAAGAGAGGAATGTAGCAATAGGGTCCATCCAGCTTGGTGCGGATTCTATAAAGTTGACATGGATTTCCTCCGAAGAGCAAATACTTGGCTCCGGGATGAAACCTACTTCGATGGTCCGTTTGATCTCAGAATTGATGGCGGAGGCTAGGCATGCTAAGGCATCCGCGTGTGTGTTCTGGTCGCGTGTTATTTGGTTCAATTCGTGATGGTCAAATTTTTTCAGCAAGGAATTGGCCGTTTTCATGTAGGCCGCCATACGGTCGTTTCTTGCCGCGTACTCCCCCTTTAGCTGACTAATTACCAATTTTGAATCACAAAACACAAGCAAACGCCGAGCGCCGAGAAGGTGCGCATTCCGCAGACCGGCTAGAAGGGCTTCGTATTCGGCTTCGTTATCTGATGCTTCGAAACCAAGCTTGACGGCCTGCTCAATTACTGTGTTGTCTGGAGACATGATTACAACTCCAGCGCCGCTACCCCTTTGGTTAGACGATCCATCACAATATAATTGCCAAATATCCCCGACATAAATTCTCCAGTTCGGCTTTGGTCGAACTTCAGCCTTTGGTCGAACTTCGTCAGGTTTGAGGTTGGCAAGCTCTCCAGTGAATTCGACAACAAAGTCGGCCAACACCTGCCCCTTGATTACAGTTTTAGGTAAAAACTGAATGTCGTATTGGCCGAGTTCAAGAGCCCATTTTGAAACACGTCCTGATGCTTCTACACTCCGTAGTATTGATCGGAGGAGATAATCTGTTTGCACCCTAATGCTATGTCCCTGGAAGTAATGCATCAGTTTTCTTGCCGCCATGACTAGGGCTAAGATGAGTTTTTCCAGCGGAAGGTAACGTGTTTCAGTGTCAACCATTGCCTTGCTAACATAATACACTGGCCGTTGCTCCCCCTCCTCCTCTTTTAGTAGTACGGCACTGGGGGCCCTTTTGGAAACTGCCAAATATAGAATGAGCGGGTCACCAGCGGCGGGTGTTGTCAAGAGAGGTACTGAGTGGAGGTAGGTCTTGAGTCCGTTGAAAGCTGTTTCGCATTCGGCGAACCATTCAAAAGCCTTACCCTGCTGTAGTATCTGAAAGAATTATCGACAGCGATCTGTAGACCGGCTGATGAACCTGTTGAGTGCAGCGGCCATCCCCATCAACTTTTGGACTTCTTTTACTGAACGGGGGGAACCAAGTTCCAAGATTGCTGTGACTTGCCTCGGGTTGGCTTTGATTCCTCGGTGATTGACGATGTAACCCAGGAATTTGCCAAAGCCGATTTCGAACGCACACTTGGAAGCGTTCAATTTCATTATGTATTTGCGTAAGATGCTGAATGTCTTTTCTAGATCGGCTATATGATTCTGTTCTTCTTTGGACTTGACCACCATATCATCGATGTATACTTCCATAATGTGGCCAAGTTTCTCTTTAAACATGGCAGTGACCAGTCTTTGGTAGGTTGCCCCTGCATTCTTCAGCCCGAAAGGCATAACTTTGTAGCAGTAGGTTCCTCTTGGGGTGAGGAATGTAGTTTTGTCCTGGTCATCTGGATGCATGGTGATTTGATGGTAGCCTCTGTAAGCATCAAGGAAGCTCATGCGTTGATGGCGAGCCGTCGCATCGACAAGCTGGTCGATTCTGGGTAGAGGAAAACAGTCTTTGGGGCAAGCTTTGTTCAGATCTGTGAAATCGACGCACACTCGCCAAGTCTCATTTTTCTTCTTCACCACCAATGTATTGGAGAGCCATGTAGGGTAAGTGACTTCTCTAATTGCCCCGGCGTCAAGCAGTCTGTCTACCTCCTCAACAACGGTGGCAGTGTGCTCCGCGATTGACCACCGGCCTTTCTGAATGATCGGCTTTACATTTGGGATCGACATTCAGATGGTGCTATGAAACTGGCGGTTCTATTCCCAGCATTTCGTACAGAGTCCACGCAAAGACGTTGAGGTTGTTGAGTAAGAAAGAGATCAGCTGCTACCTGTCGGCCTGATTCAGAGAAGCGCCGATCATGAAGAACTTTTCTGGGCTTCCATCGATGTCAACTCAGTCTAAACTTTCCGTGGCCTTCTCATTTGGATGCCGCCCAACGTCATCAAGGATCTCCCGATTCGGCACCTCAATGGAGTTTACTTGCAGTTCATTTGGCGTTTTGGCGGCAAGGAGATAACATGCTTGTGCCGATTTCTAGGAGCCGCGGATTTGCTCAATGCCGTGTTCTGTTGGGAAACGTAGCAGTTGGTGATAGGTTCTTGGGACGGCCTGCAAGGTATGCAACCACGACCGCTCCATGATGAGATTGTACGACGATGACAGCCTGACGACCAAGAATTCCACATCCACCGTTCTGGAACCTGCTCGAACGGGTAAGCAGATATTTCCCAATGGGTACTCTGGATTGGCATTGAAGCCGAATAGTGGATAAGGAGCCAGAGTCAGGTCTGACTCATTGAATCTGAGTTTGATGAAGGTTTTATAATACATAACCTCCGAAGTACTGCCCTGGTCGATAAGAACGCATTCGACGGTGAACCGGTTTACGCGTAGCTCAACAACCAATGGGTCGATGTGAGGGAGTGTTAAGCCGATCAAATCAGAGTCGTCAAAGGTAATACTTGGCGTTTCTCGGAGCCGCTTTGCTGGCGTGAGTTACTATTGGGGGCCTGGATATGATTGGATCCCATGCACGGTCGGGGCTGCTGGCAGGCTGTATATCATGTGGATGGTGCCAAGCAGAAATGCATCCTTCGGAAGGGTAGGTGTTTTGATCGCACTCCTCTGAACGCATTGTTGGAGACGTTCTTCCTTTGCCAACTCCTCAAGATGATCTGTTGAGGCATAGCGGCCATCAGTTTCTTGTTGTCGGGCTCGAGATCGTCGATCAGCTGCCCTCGGGGGTCGCTCATAAGCCTGGCACACTGTTTGTTTGGATTTTGCTATTTTCGAGGCCAGATCGCGACGAAGGCGTTCGTTCTCAGCGAAGATGTTGTCCAACCTCTATTTGGTTTGCCTAGCTTGTGCTATGGTCGCTTGTATTGTCTTTTGCGTTGGGTTTGAAGATGAGCAGAGGTCCAAGGCAAGTTTTGCTGCGATGGTTTTTGGTCCAAGCGAGTGTGCTGGAGTGAGGTCATCTCTCTGTGTGGTCTCGTCAGTGGCTATCAGAGGATCTTCAGTCACGCTTGCCATGGATGTATTTGAGTATTTCCATAGACGACGCCAGTTGTGGAAAAGTGGTTTGGAAATACTCTTCAGATTCTGAGAGATACTAGTGATCCTCAGCTAGTCACCTGAAAAGATACAAACACTCCGGTCGGGGGTGCTGGAATTAGCACTCCGATGGACAAGTCAGTTCTTATACTCAAAATAGCTTGTCTTCTAAGTTAAGCAAAAAGTGATTGTTACATACCTTTCTAAATCTGTGGTTCTTGTATTTATACTTGCTTCTTGGTCCTCGGGGCTTGAGCCGACTTTTATCCCATTCTCCTTTTATTTATTCGGAGCTACTGATCTCTGGCTATTCGGCCTTCCTAACGTATTCGGCATCCTAGTCACACAATATGGAGCGGAATAATATCTGATTTCTGGGGTGCGCACCTTCCGACTCTTCCATTTATCCGACTCCCACAATAATAAGGGGTGCATAAAACTTACAGACTTTGGTGCATCAAAGAAAGTTGTTGAGCTAGTGTGAACAATGTTTCCTCTATTTCATTTTTTATTTAATTTTTCTAGTTATTTATTTTGTTTTCTTTCCAAGGTAATATTATGTCAAATTATTTTATACCCGAGTTATGTATGTTGCTAGTACAGGCTACCATGACTAGTGCAAAGTCAATGAAGGGTACTCCATATTGGATGGCTCCAGAAGTTATCCTTCAAACCGGTCATAGTTTGTGAGTACAATCACACATTTCCATGCTTATAGCTGATCTATGATATGGATAAGACAAATGTGACCATGTGTTTTCTTACTAGCTCAACCCAATGTTTTAAAAACCGGACCGGTGAGTGAACCGGAAAAGACATCGGGTGGACGGGTCACCGGTTCAACCGTCGGGTTGAACCGGAATCAAACCGTGACGTAATAAATATATTAAAATTATATTTAATTAAAAATATAAGTAATAAAATTATAAATTAAAAATATTAAAAATATTACATTATCTTAAATATTTTTCTTAATATTCTTTTACTGAAAAATATAATAATATATTCTAAAATATTATTAATTTCAATTTTGGAAGATGAAATCAAATATTTAATATTCCCTCCATATGATTTTAATTCAAATAATTTGATTGAAAGGAGAACAAAAATTTTGGAGGGATATCAAAATTTCAATATTCCCTCCAATACATTTGATTGAATCCCACATGGATTTCTTGAATTTTTTTGAAAGAGTTTTTTTCTTATAAATAGGTGAAGACTTTCACAATAATTTCATCAAACTCTTAATGGGATTCCTCACAAGAGGAGACCCTTGAAAAAGAGTTTCAAATTAAAATTTTCTTATATTCTTATATTCAAAATTTTTCTAACCCTAAATTATGAAAGGGAGTCATCTATATATATATATATAATATATAATAAGAAAGAAAGAAAGAAAGAAAGAAAAAAAAAAATTCCGATCCGGATCAACCCGGCGAATCGGCTCCGGTTCGCCGGTCCAACCGCCGGTTTTTCTGGTTCTCCTTAAAAACGCCGATTTTCATTTCTAGCCAGTTTAGAGGGTCCATCTGGACCGGAACCTCGACCGGTTGACGGTTCAACCGGTCGAACCGGCCGGTCCGGTCCGGTCCGACTCAACCCATGTCACCTTAGTTACATCTTCAATGTGGATAAAGTTACTCTTACGCATTGGTGTAGTAAATGCTTGCAATATTTTCACTTAAGCACGTACATATACACCATGCTTGTTGCACTCCTTATTTTGTGCTTGTTTTAGCTCATTAGTTTAATATCAAACATTCCAGCTCTGCTGATATATGGAGTGTTGGATGTACGGTTATTGATATGGCTACAGGAAAGCCTCCTTCGAGCCAGCAATATCAGGAGGTATTTTGAAACCATCATCTTCCATTGTTTTCCTACTGAAGTATTTATTTGTTCTGTTGACTACAACTTTGGGACTCGATAAGATGTTAGTTCATTGTTTGTGAACTAACTAATTGGTGTTTCTTTTAGGTTGCTGCTCTCCTCCATATTGGGACAACTAAATCTCATCCACCCATCCCTGAGCATCTCTCTGCTGAAGAAACAGATTTTTTGTTAAAATGTTTGCAGAAGTATGTTTCACATGCCTATTATTTTTGTTTCTTGCTTCTTTTGCCCTTTGTATCCATTGCCAATTTGTTTTTTAGGCTGATATACAAATTTATAAGAAGATAATTTATGCTTTATTTTTAAGTTTGTTTCATTCTCTTATCCTTCTATGGCAGGGAACCAAACTTAAGGCCTGCTACATCAGATCTGCTGCAGGTACTATTACACTGCAGGCTAATTTAACTTATCAACTTCTTATAAATTAAGCTCTAACTCATATATATATATATATATATATGTAAGGTTATCTTGTAGCAGAACATTCCTTGGTTCTGATGGAAAACACAATGTTAGATAATAAAAGTTGTCACTTCTTTTAATAATTGTTCTAAAAAATGTTTTTGGCTTATCATATGCAGCATCCATTTATTACTAGGGAGTATCAGGAAACCTATCCTGTGTTACGCGTTTCAGTTATGGTCAGTATAACTGCATGAAGCCTTCTTTGTTTGCATTATGCAGCTTTTCTTTTTCCATTCTTATTTATTTTACAATCATTAGGAAAATTTTGGAAAAAAGATGGCAACACCTGAGATGGAGCTTAAGAACTGGTAAGGGTTATTGTTAAATAACCTTGGGTGCTTTCAAGATATATTATTGTCTGTTATTTCTAATTAGAACTCTTTGAGGTTGCATTTTTGTTTTAGCATGGGCCTTATTATCAGGACAACCTACACGCAATTGAAGGATGGTCATAATAGTGTGAGGTGCTCAACTATATATCATGAGAAGTTCCTAGGAAATGTCCCACATTGGGGATCAGGAAATTGTGATGATGACATGTGTCAGATAGATGATGAAGATGATCTTGTGATTGAAGCATCAGCAAAGTTTGATTTTGCTTTACTTTTTGATGATTTTAATAAGGTAACATATTGCTTTTATGCCTTCTAACAAATATGATATTTGTTAACATAGTAACCCTAACAACCAATGGTTTGTTTTTTTTTTTTTTGTTAATCTAGAGTTTTAATCCTATGTCTGAGCCGGACGATAATTGGCCATGCAAGTCTGATGACACTCTAGAGAAGTTCCCAGGAAATGTCCCACATTGGGGATCAGGCAATTGTGATGATGACATGTGTCAAATAGATGATGAAGATGATTTTCTGATTGGAGCATCAGCAAAGTTTGATTCTGCTTTACTTTCTGATGATTTTAATAAGGTAACATATGACTTTTATGTCCTGTAACAAATATAATATTTGTCAGCATAGTAACCCCTAACAACTAATGGTTTGTTGTTTTTGTTAATCTAGAGTTTTAATCCTATATCTGAGCCCGACAATAATTGGCCATGCAAGTCTGATGACACTCTAGAGTTGGAAAGTAGAGTGAACTTATTGTCTAGTCAAACAGTTAACAAGGCTACTGACATCCCTCGAGCATCTGGTAAAGGGAACAATGATTTTACATTTCCATGTGGGCCCTTAGTAGTTGAGGATGATGATGATGATAATGAAGTTATTGAGTCAAAAATTAGAGCAATCCTTGATGAGAAGGTATTATCGCTTCCACTTAAGTTTTCATTTTTGGTTGTGGAGGCTTTGGGTCGTTTGTTGTCCAGGGCGGTTCATGGTGGTTTATTGCAGGGACTTGAGGTGGATTATTTGGGATCAGGCAATTGTGATGACGACATGTGTCAGATAGATGATGAAGATAATCTTGTGATTGGAGCATCAACAAAGTTTGATTCTGCTTTACTTTATGATGATTTTAATAAGGTAACATATTTCTTCTATGCCCTCTAACAAATATAATATTTGTCAGCATAGTAATCCCTAACAACCAATGGTTTGTTGTTTTTGTTAATCTAGAGTTTTAATCGTATGTCTGAGCCCGACGATAATTGGCCATGCAAGTCTGATGACACTCCAGAGTTAGAAAGTAGAGTGAACTTATTTTCTGGTCAAACAGTTAACAAGTTTGCTGACATCCCTAGAGCATCAGGTAAGGGGAACAATGATTTTACATTTTCATGTGGGCCCTTAGTAGCTGAGGATGATGATGATGATGAAGTGGTTGTGGCGAAGTATGGTTTGGGTAGAGGGGGGTGGTGTTCGGGAAGGGTGGGGCTGACACATGGTCGGGGTGTTTAGAAAGGCATTTGGTTGGGTTGGGAGGCATTTTGGCATCGGGTTCAGTTGAAGGTTGGAGTGGGGTGATTCTGCAGCTGTTAACATTGCCTATACTGCTAGCTGTGGAACTTATTCCCAATGTGTGTCAAATATTGGCACTGAAAGTGTTCAAACTCTGTCGTAAGTACAGCCACCTAAGCCTAGTGAATGGAAAGAGGTTGTTTGTGATGATCAGGAGCTGATTAATCCAAGGTTTGTGAGTAGATGTTTGATGCTTGCTTTAGTTTGTGTTTTCTTTTGGTGGACCATGTTTTCTTTTTGTAAATTGAGAATGAAAAATGTTTTACTGGTAGCGCAAGCTTCTATGAGAGAAAAAGAATATGGGAAGAAGAGCATGAAAGGAAACGAGGCAAGTGAAAATTTACCTTATATTCAAAAGATTATAAAAGCAAGTTGTTGTGTTTATTATGATCTGCTTGCTAGTCTTCAGGATCAGCGATAGTCTACTCTAGGTCTAGCTTGTTGCATTCTAGGTCCTGTGAGATCAAATCATTGAAAAGCTCAAATTAAGTTTTGTTGTGAAACTGCACATAGGACAATCTTGCATCATGCCATTGTATACCTTAACAAGACATGTAGAACAATGTTTCAAAGGTTTTGGACCTCTTTTGATTAAGTGGAATAATTGTGTGTAAGGTTGTTGGAACTCCTGTTACAAATTGCTGAACACAAGCAACTAGAAGTCTGTGGCCTAGAGAACTCTATTTCAACTGCATATGGTTCCTGGGAAGAGGTATTGCGTTTGCTCGTTGAACATGGGGCTCTGATTGTAGCTGATATATATAGTACCACAATCATATATGTTTACATGTTTTATAAAATGTTTTATTCTGTTTATTTACTTGTTTATGTTTTGTGGGAACAAATTTTTAATCTGAAATGGGACAATTAGTGAGTTGATTTCAGCTCAGGTTCATTGAACTTGGGGCTTTTGACTGGAGTTGCAAGTTCCAATTTGGTTCATTTGGGTTGGTGATGCACAGCTAGAGGTTGAACGTTAAGAGTGCATAGGCTCCACTCATTTTGTTAATATATTTGGACCCTTAATCGAACCTTATTTGTTAATCTATGGTTTAGTTTCATCTACGAGGAATATTGCTTGGTCAGATGATTAGTCGTGTATGGATTGATTTTTATTTTTTTCCAAAATCATGAACTTCAATTTTTACTTAAGAAGTTAAGCTGGACCTCTGGCTTCAATTTGTGATTGTTGCAACAACAAGCTTGGTTCTACAGTGTTTGCCAGGCTTGTTGAGCCAATGCTGAGTTGGTGAACAGCTTTAGATGAGCACTGTAGTAATTATTTTCTTTATGGTTTTTATTTTAAGCTGTACATCTTGCCTATATTTTTATTTTCATTTGTGAGCCTAATTTTGTCGTGCTTGTTTATTTGATATCAATACTAGTTTCTAGCAAAGAGGAGGTGGATGCTCCCGACAGCTTTTGTATTCAGCCAGTTGACTTGAACCACTTTTTAAAAGATGGAAAAATTTACGGTAACCAAGGGTTGAAGGTAATACACCTTTTTGTTAAATTGGAAAATTTGGTTAAGACTCCACTATTGATAATTTGATGCTCTTGAAACTGTATCTTCCCATTATGGCGTCTGTGCCCAAATTTTATTTGGTGATTGTCGAACTTCTGTTTTTGTTTTTATCTCCTTTTCAGTAGTTGCTTGCTCTTGTTTTGGCATTGTGCATTCATGTCCTCGGTGTGGAGGCTATGAAAGTTGCATTCATGGATATGCATGCTTTTTATCAAGCTAAAAAAAGCTCTTTTTGTTCATAACATATAATAATATACTTTCCTCCTGCACAACCTAGATCATGCACAATCTCTTGCATGAAAATACATTAAACATTAAGGCCATATTTGGGATTGCTTTCATTCTTGATGTTTTTGGTTTTGGTGAAAATAGAAATAATGAAAAACATTGAAAGCACCTATGATTTTTATATGGTTTCCATTTTTGTCTGAATTTATTTTCAAAGATTTACAAAGCAATGTAAAAGTAATTCCTAAAAAAGGGGTGTGTGCAAAATTTTTTTCAAAAATAGTCTGCCAAACAAGTTTTTTTGTGTCAATTTCCGTTTTTTCTATTTTCTAGAATATAAAATGAAAACAATACCAAATGTGCCCTAATTGTTTATTTGGAACCGTTCTTTTCTAGCTTGCAAGTGTTAATTTATTTATTTGTAATTTATATTTTATCACAAATCATGCAGATCACCATCTGGGTCAGCAGCATATCTTTTCATGCATATGCTGAGATTACATTTCAGAGCACATCTGATGTAAGTATTTACACTTATCTTTAGCCCGATTCTAGCTTTGTCTTCTGATGGTTTGCTAATGATTTCTATCCCTTAACTGTTATAAGGGAGGCAAGGGGGATTACAGATCTGAAATCTGCTCTCCAGGTAATCATGGACCATCCATCTTAACCTATTCCCTTGACATCCAATATCCATTTACTCATTGAATTCTGATCTTTAAGTCATTCCTTACAGAATATTTTTGCTGAGAATATTGTTGAGAAAAGGAGGATTTCCTTCAAACATTTTCAATCGAGTGTGATTATGCTAAGTATGTTTCGTCAATTACTTACCATTACATTTGATGCTTTCTCATTTTGTCTTCTGAAATTGTGTTATCTTGGTTGTTACATTATTGTTAAATTTGATATTGTGATTTTTGTTCTTTGTCACAAATCTATTGTCTCGAAAGGGGAGATATTGCAGCAAAACAACACCAATGTGCACAACAGTGATTCTAATAATTATTTTTGTAGAGAGATTGTTCTGATTTGGAGGTGCTATTTAACGCCTTTGCTGTATTATTGTTAGTGAATAGACTGCTTTCTTTGTTTTGCATTTCATGGATTTGCTATAAAGACTTGCTATGATTAATGATACTGAATGTTGGGTAGTTAATAAAAGAAATGTTTGTAAAACGACTAACTGAAATGAGAATATTGAGATAAATGGTCTTTCATACAATGGTTAAGCTTTCTTGGCATGCTATCTACTAAAGATAGGATCAAGGATTGGGGTGTGGTAGATGATATATCTTCTGTGCTTTGTAATGTGGAGATGGAATCACATAATCATTTGTTTTTTGAATGTTGCTTCTCCCACTATGTTTTGTTGAGTAAGCATGTGAGTAGAAAGAAACCATATGTCCTTTGTAGCTGAGATTGATTGGGTAGTTCACAATATAGGTGGACAGTCTTTTGGCCATTCAATACACAAATTGGCAACGGCTACTACTATCTATCTTGTGTAGATGGAGAGGAACTACAGAACTTTTTCTCACAGAAGGATAGATGCAAATTCAGTTCTAAATAAAGTGATCAATGACATTAGAGCATGATTATATTCATGGGAGAATATAAAATATGTAACGCCCTCAAAATAAACCCATTTATCATACATTCTTGGCATGCTTAGACAAAAGAGAATAAAGCATAATTACATTTCATCAGAGTATTCATTACAAAATGTATTACATGTTGACAACAAAAGTAAGTGCCCTATAGGCTTACAACTTTCCAAGTCAACACTTGGTTACAAAAGGAGAGTACTAACTCTACACAAAATAAGCCCTTGGCTTGATATACATGTAATACAACAAAAAGAACAACAAAAATAAGGTCAAACAGCCTCAAGCCTCCCAAGCTACGTCCTTGGAGGTGGCATGCTACTTTTACTTGAAAAATGTGTCCCATATAGGGTGAGCCAACGCCCAGTAGAGATATGCTAAACATAATATGAGCAATAACTAAAACATTAGCATTTTATAAATGTTTAACTCACATAAATCAATTCATAACCCATTTCAATTACATGACAAATGTGTCTATGTTTCATTCCATTTTCCATTTCTTGACCCTGGCTCAGAACCTGGCCATATACTTTAAATGAGATTATATCTCATATCAATAATATTTCCATTTTAACAATTGAGATAACCGCTCAAATTAAACAATTCATACTTCACATTAGATACACATAATTGTTATATCAATCTCAAATAAAAACACTTCCGTACTTCATATATGATACACAGATTTGCTGTATCAATACTTCAACAGATACACATAATTGCTGTATCAATACTTCAATGGATACACATAATTGTTGTATCACTGGAGTACATCCCCTATCTCCTCCCAAACAATATCCGGTTTAGGAGTTCATCCCCTATCTTCCCCTAAACTATGGAGTACATCTCCCATCTCCTCCCACTCAACACAATGTATATAAACACGTATCATATACATAAGCAATCAATACACAAATTTGATGTATTATTCCAACCGTCATATTCGATGACATTATTTAATTGATTAGTTTTAATTGACCTAATCATCATGCATTGTCTACAACAATCAAGACTATCCTCCACCGATAGCCCAAAGCAGTTATTTCTAAATAGATAATAAATGCCTCAACAAATAAATAATCTCAACATTTACAAAGTGAGCGATTAATAAATCCAACTCCACCATTTTATCTCATAATGAGTCAATTCCATTATTTCCAACTCAATTTCATATTTCCATAATAGTTGTCATTAATTACACTAATGACCCAAATATGCCCAAACATGGC